CCGGGACCTGCAGCACCGGGTCCTGGTCCTGCAGGTCCACTAGACTGGGTTTCTTCCATGAGTTTAAAGAGCAGTGAGGGTGGAATAATAATGTTCCTGCTTCCTGGAGTCTTACATTAATTAGATTCTCTTTTCTGTCAATATATTGATTGTTTTTTTATTTTTGTATTATTATTTTGCCTTTTTTGTCAATTTATTTAAGTGGAAGTTCATTGGGATTAGAGAGTTTGTCCTATTTCAATCAGAAACCTCACTTATTTTAATAACAAGGCTTTAAATAGGAAACTTAAATCTCTATAATTAGTTAGAGTTGACAATTCTGTGAACATGAAGTTGTGTTTTAAGTGAAATTCACTGGAAATAAGTGGATTTGTCCTCCTGATATTAGAAACTTTACTTAGTTTAATAAGAAAGCTTTAATTCTGAAACTTTAATCGCTATAATTCATCAGAGTTGGTGAACATAAAGTTGTTTATTAAGTGAATTTGACCTATTTCAGTTAGAAACCTCATTTATTTTAATAACACGGCTTTAAATATGAAACTGTAGTGAGTCAGAGTTAAATATTCTGTGAACAGAAAGTATATAAAATGTCTAATTTAACAAGCATATTCACCACCAACCTGATCTGTGCCTCCCTCATATTAGCATGGATATAAAAGCATTGTGCCACATATGTTCCTGCATCCAATCAGCGCTGCAGGAGCCAATTAAACGGCCTCATTACAGAGAAAGGTCACTCGCTACAGGATATCAAACATGTGTAACATAAACTTTACATTTAATCTCACAGATGTGGCTCAGGCTAATCCATTACATAGCCCATATCAGAGCAGGTATAATCTGATTCAGTCCGAATGCAGAAGCCATTTTTACTCAGATCAGTTACTGAAAGGGCAACCACGTCTTTACAGAGAGAATTATATGAATGATATGATCTATGAAAGCCTTGTGCACGCTCACACAGAGAGCGTTTGCTGTGTATTTGTAAGAGACAATTATAAAAGGGGTTTAGGAGTAAGTCTATATTCTGGTGATAAGTTGTAGATAATGTATCAGAGATGTCTTTTGTTGGAGGTTTAGGAGACAGACAAAGCAGCCTTTCAGTGCAGTGTAACATTTACTGCCGGCTGCAGTATGTCAGGACGCCGGTGGCAGGTTTATAAGGCGAGCGGTGAAGTGGAGGCAGTTGAGTTTGATGCTGCGGAGCGACTGCAGACGCAGGGAAAAGGTCACAGTGATGGATAGGGCGTCTTCCTCGTACGACCGTCCCCGCAGGACGCGGCGCAGAGTGGATGTGAGGCAGAGACAGACGACTAAAGCTGAGCTGCAGGTCAAAGTTCACAGCGAAAGGTAAATGACAACCAGAGCAGAAGCTTTGAGACTTTTTCTCACTTTATAGGCTTTTTATTTCTCCATTTAGTGACTTTATTTTTAATTATTAGTGCTACAAAACCTGTTATTTTTTAACAAAAGACAAACCAGTCAGTGTTGGGTTTGTCCTTTCTGGGCTACTGTAGAAACATGGTGGTTCAACGAAAACACAACAACTCCTATATTAAGGTGATTGTACACGAATGAAAACATACCTATGAACATTTTATTCCATTTCTGCCTATAGATCCTCCTCAGTGTTATACTCTGGACCTTTAAAGGAATAAAAACAAAAGGATTATTTTATTAACAAACGCTTTATTCAAATTTCACAAAATATAATATCCTACATTTCTCTAATAACACTAATGTGGTAGAATTCAATACTATAGAAAAGCAAATGTACACTGTATGATAACTGAATATACAGGGGAATCATTATACTGCTGCAACCCTGTTTAGCTTTAAACACACAGTACAGCTGAGGCTGATGGCGATGTCATTAGTCTCACAGATCTTTGGTCATAAACAGAAGTAGCGGACAAGTTAAATGTTTGACTTGATGATGGAGATAGAGAAGAGCAAAGTGAGTACGCCTCATCCTCTGGGAAACAGAAATGTCTGTACAGAGTTTCCAACCAGTTCATCCCAAAGTCTACAGTTCCTCCTACACTCTACACTCTTAATAATAATAATGGCAATTCAGTTCACAGACTCAGTGGGACGAAGAAAGTTTGTTTCTTGTCTGATCTTTGAAAGCGAGTGAAGTTTAGGCACGTTTGGATGTTGATCAAAGTGAAGAAGAAGATTCTGTTTCTGTGTGTCTGAGCTGTTTCTTACACCAATAACAGCCAAAACTTACACATGATCCATGCTGATGAAGATACAGAAAAATAGAATTACAAGATAAATTGCATATTTTAGAGCCCCCATCCCAAAGTTTTACAAATCCTGTTTTCAGGGGAGCTCAGCACCCCCTGTAGTTCCCACCCTGAGAGCCACACTAGGCTAAAAACAGGGTGATATCCCAACAAATACCTCCCTGTCCGTCAGTTAGAAGCATCTTGGATGAGATGTGAAAGTATCTTTAACCAATCAGTTGCTCTGGACTCAACCCTCCTTGGACAACCATGATCTGCTGACTGTTCAGACAGTACCGGTTGGTTTCTGGGTCTCGCTGTGTGATCTGTACTGGATGGGAACTCGCACATTTCTATCCAGAGAGATTCGTCCGGCACCTGGAACTGAAGTTTGATACCGAGCCATACATGTTGCTAGTAAACAGTTTGAGGTTTGTGTGTCGCCCCTGAGTCAGAGCTGCTGGCAGAGCTGCAGACGGTCAAGTTACTATGTCAGATAGTTTGGTGTGATTCATCCTCTGTGTTACTACAGTGATGCATTTCCCGCCTGTACCACTGCAATATGATCTGCTTAACTGCCCTCGTCAGCTGACAGGAAAAAGCAAAATATGATGCTCTGATCATAAAAATAAACCTCGTGCTATTTACTCTAATATCAAGTGTGATGTTGGTGCACTTTGCCAGGGTGTGGCACTGCAGGCGGGAACCGAAATCAGGGCTCTGTGACCCTGCGATGTGTGGTAACAGTGTCTCTGGGTGTCTGCAAAAAAAGACTCTTGGTGTGTGGGATAAATAATGCAACGTCACCGCTGTCATGTTTAACCTGCAGCGCTTCAATTATTGATGAGGGCTCAGCCGCGGCGCCATGTGGGTGGAGAGAAAACAGGAAGAGGAGGGGCAAACACAGCTGTTATTGTAGGATACAACGTGTGGAGAAGTCAACATGCTGCATATGCTTCAGTGAACTATATTGCTGTTATTGCTTGCACAGCATTATGGGTAGTGCTTTGATATCACAGTAATATCCCTGTGATGTGTACAACTACGCTCAAGTGAAATCATTATACTCAAGCAGCTAATATTGGTGGAAAAAGACTGCAGTCATGAGGAACTATACACTTTTTGAGGCTACAAGTAATGATTTTCTTCATTATTGATCACTTTTTACAGTAAATGATTTATCATAATCTTAAATTTAGACTGCAAAAGGTCAAAAGATAGTGAAAATGTCCAACGTGATTGATTCAATTGGCTTGTTTTGTCTGATATACTAAATATTCAGTTTACAATGAATTAAAATGCAGCAAATAGTCACATTTAAAAAAGCTTCACCATAAGATGTAGCAGCCAAAACATCCTAAACATGTTCAGCAACTACAGCTCATGAAGTGAAAATACTATAGATAGA